TTTACTAAGTAACACATAATTGTTAATACGATCAAGATGGAAAAAAACATCTCGAAAGCACCCAGTTTGTCTGAATTGCCGCGAGTCTTGTCTTGCGCGATAACGATAATAATAATTTAAAAATAGAAGAAACATAATATTACATCCACTTAATATTCTTATAATATCCAGATGTATGCGCACAATATTATGTGTACCAATAATATTTAAAGTTAAGAAATTTTATGATCTGTGATAAATATTATCATTCCTTTCCTTTTATAAATGCAAGTACGAGTTTTATATATAAAGGAATCAAATTACATATTTATTACATATATCATTAAACACTATTATTTTTAACTGTATTAAAATATTTTATTCATATTCTTTTTAGATGGAAAAGGAGTAATGTGTGGAGAGAGAAATTGATTATCATGCCTAAAAGAATTAAATTTCAGATCGTAATATAGAGACAGCTAAAATTGAGCTACGATGGCTCATTTTTTTTCGTGACATTTTAGATTTTATATTATAAATATTTAAAGAAGATGGTTTAAAATTTCAATTGATAAAATCGTAGGAGAATTGCGACAAATTCTGTACTTCTTGTTGAACTTCTAGTCAATGACTACGATTGTGCTTCTGCTATCCTACACCACTCGTTGCTACGTACTACAGCTGTAGAGATTCTAATGCTGGCACAATCGGAGACCTTGGCCGTCGCGGAGACCACGAGAGATCACTGACAGCAGGTTTGTTGCGCAACTTTTATGCGAAACCAAAGGTTCCTGATCTAACGGACGCGACGGGAGAACAAATCCAGTTGCCCAACAGAGACGCGTCAAATATAATCCATCTCATTAGCATTCGCGATAAAAGTCACCTATCGCTGCCATTTTAAGACTACGGCCATGAATCCGTAAAAAAAATACATTTAAGATTGCGCGCTTATAAAACAGTTATGTCGTATAAGTCAGTCTTACAACTGACATAAAAATGTGTGATTTTAAAGAGAGAGAGAGAAATAAGACGAGTTTTTTTGCAATATCTATTTTCAACTTTATATTATATTTGAATTTCTCCGTAGTTATGTTTTCACTCGAGAACTAAAATAGTGCAGCAAATGACATCATTTATATTTTCAGAAAAATAAAACAATTGTTTCAAAAACGATAATATATTATTAATTGAAACATCAATTTCAATAAATATATTATTGAATATCTTTAAAATTCTGTTGAATATTAACTAGAAATGTCCAGATAAAATTCACATTTCAGCTTTTTTAACAGAGGAAGTAAGATCTTTTATGTTTTGCAATTTTTTATCTCGAATTCTATTCTGTCTATTCAAAAAATTCTGTCCCATTGCAACCAGACATTAAAACGCAACAATGCATATCGCTTAGCCGAGCATCGAAGTCCCCGCGGAGTGCAAGTGTGCATCGAAAAGTGTATACTGGCTTGTGTTCGTACACTAAAGAAAATTATTAAATTAATGAATATTTATTTCAATACCGCCTAATAAATCATTTATGCGAAACAAATAAATATTTGTCTTGAAAAGAATTTTCTTATATATATCAAATAAATATGTTTCACATCAAATCAATATTATTAGTTTCAAATCAATGATTTGGCAGTATACTGAAATAAATACTTATTCGAATAAACTTTTTTTCAGTGCATTATTTTATTATAACACGTGTGCATGAATCAATCCGATGGATTCCGTTTGATCGCCAACGCGGAAAATATAAATATATATATATAGGAATATCTGTATATACACACAATCACGAGGAAACTTTTACGTAATACGTTGCAATTTTCCGGTCGGCAACAAATTACGACGCGTGTATATGAATTTCCCTCGTGTCAGGGATAACAATATTTATCGTTGCGATTCTCTCAACAGCCGCCTCGCACGATATATTATATATATATATATATACGCGGAGATAAGAAGTGATTTGCAGTTTAATGGATCGATTTTATACGCAAGTCGTTAAATTCGGGGAGCCGATAAATTACTTAATTGGGTACTGGTTCGTTAATTGAGCGGCTGCGTCAAACGCGTCAAGGAATATCGATAAAATAAAAAAACAGCCGGGAGGACGGCCGGAACGGATATTAAGTTGAGAACGATGCAAAATAATCGTTTCCGCGTTATATATATATAAATATTTAAACAACATATATAATTAGTGATAAAACCGCGCGCACCGGTCAAGAGAGGAAACTAATTCGACGCACCTGCGACAGCAGCAGATAGTGTTCGCCGGAGTAAAAGGCCATCGACACCGCGATTCGCGCATTATTCGTGCTCTCGTGAGCGTAGCAACCTGACGCAAAATGAGAATCGAAGACTCGTCAAGGAGGATCTGAAAGCGAGAAGACGCGAGGGGAGAATAAGTGCGTGAAACAGAAAAGAAAGGAGAAAAAAGAGCAAGAGGAAGTCGCTCTTCTCGATCACTCTTTCCTAAACCAGTTTTTAGGAACTTCACCCCTCACCTCCTACTCAATATACCGTTGTAAATACTTTACACCCTGAAGTCGACCTCGACTAGACAACCGCCCGAGGACTATAATAGCTCGAACGAAAAATCAGCCGTGAATTATGTAACGAAACTCTGTTGAGCAGCGAGACGCTCCATCGCGCACGCAACCATCGTGTCATTTCGACTTATCTTTACGGCAACTGTAAATGAGAAGGAGATAATTACTAAAGTACTCGTACCGATTTACGATAACAGTTTTTCTATACGTTCTTGGAGATATTTCAATGCAACACATCCTCCGAAAATATATAATGTCTTATACTCCAAAATCATCCTTACGCCTTACTGTCACAGAGAGAATTTTCTCTTAGAATTCACCCTGAAAATCATGGTAATCATGGACAATATGGAAGAATTTATATAAGCACTTCTATGATTAATATTTACCACAATAAAAATAGTAATATCTACTATAATAAAATATAAAATATATTTAATATTAAATATATAATATTAATATTATATTAATATTTTTTATTGTGATAAATATTAATCAGAGAGAAATGCTTATAAAATTCTTCCAATACCATAAGGGTAAATTCTAAGAGAAAATTCTCTCCGTGTACCATTGACAGTAGTACAGTAAATTAAATCCGATGAGCGTCGCGCGCATATTTGCGGCGAATACAAATTTCAATTGTGTTTACGAGCGTTCACTCACTCACTATACCGTTCCTCATCGGTGCGGCCGACGATGCAAGGATGACCGTTGCTTCGGACGCGAAACCGTTCCTGCGACGCGAACGTCATTATGCAATCGCACGCGTGCAAAGCAACGATTCATATAATTAACCGTACACGTGGCATATCCACAGATATATATATATATATATATATATATGTACCGGACAAGTACGCCGATTGTCAAAGGTCAGTCGTTACTCGACGTCGAGAGCGACAGATCAGCGGCGAGGATCTCTTTTTTTTTTCCTCGATGTTGTAACTACGTATAATCATTTGCTGATTACGTCAAGCTATACGAACGCCCGGCAAATGAATCATTGGAAGAGTATTACGGTGCAGGAAGAAGATTACGCGGTGACCGACCGAAAGGAGAGTATCATCATATAACATAACGCAAGATTATGCGATTTAAGGTCATTGTATGGTGGTAGCCGTCGAAAGATTGAACATCGCGAGTCCAAAATAGGCACGTGCGAATAATTAGCATAATGGACGCGTTAATGATTCGCTGGAGCAAAAAAAAAAAAAAAAAAAAAAGCGCGCAACTGCGCGATAACGTTCCCCGGAACCGGCTATACAAATTGCAATCGCACCTGTACGCCGAAAGACGATTGCACCTGCGGCACAAGTGTAACATTTTAGGGTGCTTCTTTCTGCGCGTTCCTCCCTTTCACTCCCTTATCTCTCCTTTTTTTCCCGCTCGGCAGGTTACGGCCGAACCGTAACGAGAGCATCCGTCGAGAGGGAAGCCGCAAGTTGCATTTGCACCACCCTGATCTTCGAGTCTTATTGATGGGCTACATTGCGGATTAAACTTGTGTCAAGATCCGTATCTTCATTTTACACGCAACCGGCTCCGCGTACGAATTCTTAATGCTAATAATAATCGGCGAACCAAATTGCCGGTGTACACAACACCGAAAAGATGAAGATAATTTGTCTCATGCATCTAATTAATCCCTCTCCAATAATGACGCGCACTTGAGATACGTCATCTAGATATACGCGAGTCTCTTCACCGCGATTTAATACGTACTCCTCGTATTATGATTATTTGTCTCTTTATCACAGATATATTTGTAATATAAGAACGAAATGTAGCAATTATATATCGACGACGTTATGCGATGTTATAACGATTCGCTAACAACAGTATTTCAACAATTTTCTTTCTATACAGTCCTCCCCTCATAATTAGCGATATTCTCAATATTTTCTTTCCTATTATTCTACTCTAATAATGTCCGTCTCTGTTTTATAATTTTCGTGGTATCCTAGAACTTTAATAATAATTTAATTTGCCAGACCTTTATTACGATCTCTCTGTTACATTTTTAATTTTAATTTTACTTTTAAGTATAATGCAAAGTTGTCAATATGAAGAAGTTTCATCCTATCGATGCAAGCTTACACTTTCATATAAAAGTTTGTCGACAAATTTAGAATCGATTATTGACACGTGCAAACTTTTAACTTTTGAATCTGCAATGTTAAAGAACTGCAAATATTTTCACTAAATGTGTGAAGAAAAAATGTACACTTGAAATTGACGAAAGAATTAGTCAATAATAAAAATGTGAAAAACTTTAAACTAAAGGATTAAAACCGGTGTAATTTTGATGAATTTCTTTTTCTTTCATTTTTCTTTCAAGAGTAAATAAATGTTACATGAATCGATGCAGTTTCCAATATCAATTCTGTTGCTAAAAAATACGCAGAAACCGTGAAAATTACACCAATTTCGATCCGTTTTAATTAAAGAAAATGTCATTACATTGATCCTTGTTGACTATGAGACTTAGAGGCTCCGAGCTACCAAGCGGGCTGTCCTTGCCGCTGCCAAGTGGTGGACTTTTGCTGGGATGTTGCGATTCCAGCAGCCGCAATTGCTGCTGGTGCAATCGATTCTTGATCAAAAAGATCTTTGGCATCGTGACCTGATGGTAGGAGCGATGCACGACGTTTATCACTTACACTACCACTACATCGAAGTGGGGTAAGCGAGCTTCGCCGCTACGAGTACAGTCAAGTTGCTCGCGACACAATAAGTTGCAACCAAAAAAAAAAAAAAAAAAAAAAAACAACGTAAAACCGAAACACGCTTGTAACGATCACAAGAGTATCATACTTATAAGAGTACTTGAAAACGTCGGCCAACAGAAAATTCGAAGGAAAAATTGTGTTAAATCCAACTGTGGTCCCGCAATTGTAAACTCATCATTTACCTTGTCCTTACTCCACGTCGGACAATCATCGAGGATCTACACGAGAGACTTCCAGGTTGAACGTGAATAGAGATCCACACGTATTAAACGCAAATAGATGATTGTGTCGTTTTCACAAATCAAATGACAGGTTGATTGTTCAGCGATACGAAAGCCCAAACAGGGCCCAGTCAAATTGACGTTCGAAAAACCAAAGTGTCACTCGCGAACTGAATTTGCAACCGGTATAGGGTACTTAGGTCCATACACACGCCTGTCACTTCCTGCACACGGTGAATTTACAGTTATCTTCTCAACAGCTCTGTTTCAAACAGACGGCGCGAAACAACCGCAAACTCAACCGTGAGGCTTCTCGTAAGCTACTGAATCTCTGAGTGTTTTGCTCAGTAGTGCTGGGGCCCCCGGCCCCGTACTCTCGGCCTTTTTCCTCCCTTCTACAACATCCCAGCCCCTCTTCCATCTCCATCCCTCGCCATCCTACCTGCCTACCCATCGGGCAACGCGCGCGGACCCCGTTGATTTCTTCGTCTCCCACTACTGTGTCAACTGGCCCTCCTCCTCATCCCACCATAAGAACGTAAGCCAGCCAGCGGGACTATTCAGCCTGTAATCCTCTGAGATGAAAACCGCTTCTTGCGCATGCGCGTAACGGAGAATGTTAAGTGTGTGTCCTCCGTTTTCTTTCTCGTTAGGGGACTGCATTGTTCCTCTTTCTTTCTTTTTTTTCTTTTCTTTTCTTCTTCTAGGGAAATATATAGTTGTTCCGTCCCTGGGTAACACCTCTTGATCGAATTCACGTTTTACTGTTGGAGGCGTTTCCGGGTAATCAATTTTTCTCTCTCCCGCAGTTTACATTCTCTCGCAAAATTCGTGAATTGAGTTATTTTTTTTTTTTTTTTTTCTTATCTTTATATTATTATTCAAGAATAAAATAGATATTGGAAGAGGAAAAGAATTGAAATATGCAATGTATTTTATTGCTAACAAAACTAACACACACAAAGAAGCTAGCAAAGAAAATGTATATAATTTTCGGATGTAAACATCGAGCATCTACAAGAGAAACCAAACATTTTATTTAAACAATTTTAATTTAGAACAAACAGCGACAATGAATTATGTCCACGGGTCCAGCGCGAGTTATCTTCCAATCTTAAAGGTTAAAAAAAAAATTTCGTGGGCGAGGACGTTTACGACCTTCTTCATGGGGAGAGATATTCCTAGATTAAATCTAGAAACGCGCGATCGAAACGTGATTTAAACGCATTCCTCTTCGTCATCTCTCACAAAAAGATACATGCATATAAAACATGAGTTCGATCGATATATATATGAACGAAAGAATACGATTTTATAATTAAATGTAACACGCGACATAGTTATGTGTCTATATTATATCATAATCATATAAATATTCTAAGCATCATTTGTATATTAATATATGGAAAAATTTTATTAATATTTTTCCTTAAGGAATTATTAAATGTAGCGATTAAATCAACTATAATTAGCGATTAAACATTGTGCTGAGTAATACACATCTCGCTTATAATGACACTGCGCATAAATCACTGCGTTCAACTTCGATGGTTTATCTCTCGGCCGAGGAAGAAGGTGCATAAAGGGCAGGTAGAGCAAAGTGAGATGTCCGAAAGAAGAGAGATCGGTGCTTTATTTATCTTTCAGAGATTTCTGTCTGCCGGTCATGCATAAAACATTTCCTTCGCGGCGCGATCGATTAAACCTGCAGTATCTGCACTACCAAGTTGTAAAAACTCCAACGAGAAAACTTGACGAGCCATATAATATAAATATAATCCTTATTCTAACATTTCATTACAAAAAATTCCTTTTAATACTCATCGTTAGCATTTTCAATGTGTCTATTTCTGTTAGAATATCATTCTTTTTAATAATATTTAAATTAAATCCGTTTAATAGATGAAATCGCGAATAATCATCAGATTTTTTTTCCGTAATAGTCAGTATCCTTGACATTGAATAAAGAACTCGTGCAACTATAAACGGTATGATCAGAAACACCGCAGCACATGTAGAATAAATTATGTAATAAGTTTACGTAAGATTGCCTTTATGGATATCTCTTAAGTACCTCATACCACTCGACGCATATTCTCAAACGATCGATTTGCATTTCTCTCGACGTATGTATGTACATATACATCATTATATTATAGAAACGATGCTGCGATAAGATTGTATTACGTATAGAATGCGCGTTCATCTACACATTTTCCGTTGCATGAATTAACAATTATTAATATTCTATTCTTTTTTTTAAATCGGTTCAATCGCGATTGGATGAATAAGATTGCACTAACGAGCAATGTCAAGTTGTTTTTTTTTATCACACGTATTTTACTTTCTCAATTAAGATTTACATCTTACTTAATACATGTTATTGTACGTCCTATCGTTTTCTAAAAGAGTTTATCTTATAATTATTGCATAATATAATTATGTCTTATAGGGTTGAATTATTATATACAATATATATATATATATATATATATTCTCAATTAAGCCTTTAATTGCGCATAAAATTATATATATATACATATGTCCAATTGTTAATGGCAAGTTGTGTATATAAAATTATTATCTCGTGGACAAATCTCACTTGACGATTATCGCAGCTATAAAAAGGATTGAAAAATGAAAGTTTCTAATTGTTTTAAAATTTATTTCATTTAATAATATATATATATAAAACACAATGTTTCCTGCATCTATATAGTTTTAAACGGCATTTTATAGATACCATATATTCTTTGACCAAAGTGATTTAACCAAAAAAAAAACTGAAACTAATTTCTCTTTTTCCTATTTAAAAAAACACACTATTACAAATATGTTTAGTATCTGCAATTTGTAAAACTGACCATATTATACACCGCATCAGTTCTTTTTTGCAAATTTCCTTTCATTTGTCTATTTTTTGCTTATCTTTATAAAAGGCCTACTTTAAGCTTATTTTTTATAATGAAAGGCGGTCCTTTTGCCTTTATACGCATATTGTGCAATTTACTCTAAAAATTATTTGTATTCCGTCAAGTATAAAAAATCCGCGCTGCGAAAAAGTTACATAATTTAGAAACAATATATCTTATCATAATGCAATATTATGTAACAAATAATATTGTCAGATATACCTATAACCAAAAATTATTCAACCATATAAGCCACATTCATCTATCTCTATTATTTAAACAAATTCTTATACTCGCAAAGAAAGCCTGAAAATTACAGACGGAATTAAAAATGAATATAAACATAATATAATTACTCATATTCTCTTCTTTTCTATTTTTTTTAATTATCAAAATTGAATGGCGTTCTCTCAGGTCTGAATTGTACGCGATTAAAATTGCAATTATAACTGGTTGCGTCTAACACGCGAGGCAGCAGAGTCGCAGTTGCAAGTCGGCGCAAGAACGCAGGTATATCTCGACGAGAGGTGAGGTTTATCCGCCCATACACGCGCTCGGCTTGCGAAACCGCCGCTCGTATGTCGTACGTCGGTGGCGACCGCCGCTACTTGGTCGCGATCGTAATCAAGAGTCAAAGTCAAAGTCAAGGTCGCGATCGAGGAGAGAAGAGCACTTATGCAACGCGCCGCAGCACGCGTGCTCGCTTCTGCTGCAGTCGCGTAAACGTCCGCGGCCTGGTAGGGGAAATTATTGCAGCCCGTTGTGCAAGACGGGCTATGTTACCAAACGAGTATGGAGCAACTGTTAAGTATCTCCAGAGAGAGAGAGTGTGCGTGACAAAGAAAGAGGGAGAAGACACGATTGTAAAACTATATCGTTCCTCCGATCCTTCTTCAGGAAGCTGTATTTTATTTTGCGCGCAATTTCCATACACGTGAAACATTTGTTCAAAACTGAATCATATGTAATGTATGTGCTTTATTTATTTTTGTAGCACCAAATACATGTTAATAGCATTTTTTTTGTGTAAGAAAATGTTCTAGTTATATCTTTATTTTTTTCTTTTATTAGAAAATGTAAACTGACAGAAACTTCTACGCGCTCTAAAACTTCCTTAAGAGGAAAATCATAAGAAATCTGAACTGTACCTACCTGCGTAAATTTTCGTCTCGATTTACCTCGAGGCTTTAAAATGACATCGATCCTATTGTTGTCATGAAAGTCTAGAGGCAGAAGAAAATTAATGACGTAGAATCTTTTCTTCGTCTCATAGCACCGCAGCGTGAGATCGAGAACCCGGAAGAAACTGAGGTTGAAATTGAGCCGATTTTGTACAAAACGTTGCACACCAAAAATAATGAATAATTAATTTTTCATGCTTTGGCTCTGTTGGCCGATTTAAAAAACATCATATTTATAATATTAATAATGAAAAGATTCCTTCTCGTTTGTAAAAGAGGGATTAAATGTTTTGATAACGGCGCGATCGGAAGACTCGACTTGGGTACTATCGGAATTTGCGTTTCTTCTTCGACATCGCAGAATATCTGCGCGCTTTTAATTATCACATCGAACGTAAAATCCAAGCTCGGACGGGATGTAATTTCGTTGCGGCGGTCAATCTCACGTCGAGTTACGTCAGGTAGTTAAGCTACGGGATTATATATAATAATGTTAGATCCTCGTCCTAGCGAAAAGGAAAGAGAAGGAAAAAAAGAAGACTCTCGGGCGAACTCGACCGAGTCCCGCGCACGAGGCTGGCCATCGTTATTACAATCATTATTATCATTATCGTCATTACACGTATTGCAGCTGATGCTACGAGAACCACGCTAAAATCCAGACTATCATTAGTCTCGGAAGGCAATCTCTTCCCTTGCGACGCGCTTCGACGCCGCGTTTCTCGTCGACGACGGCGTCTTCGTCTTCGTCTTCGTCTACCTCTTCCATCTCTCCTTCAAGTTCAGTGCCACCGTTCCTCGACTAGTTCCGGTCGTTGCTCGTTGCCGGTTAGGTTCCCTCCCGAGCTAGTACACCTTTCTCGTCTTCGACTAGCCATACGTCTTACGTAATCTCTTGCGGATGATTTTTTTCCCGCGCCACTTCCATCTCGGTAGGGGACCACAGTCGGAAGGAAGATGCGGAGGAAAGGTCCCCAGACGATGCTTCTCTCACGAAGGTGAAAGGGGCATCGAACGTTTCCGACCGCGATGCCCCGTACGGTTGCATGCGTGCATCTCGGATCGGATGCATGTCGGATTTTCTTCGACAAATTGCAATTAAGGCTCCTCGTCGATCAAGTTGAAGAATCATGTGACGTCAGAGGTGAGAAAACGTACGATAAAAATTCTTGTAGGGAATTCGGTTGGATGCACTTTTGTGCACGCTGAATGCATATAAGGGTTTATCACACACAAGTTTACAATGACACAAATAATCGAAAAAGGAAAATAATTAATAGTA